AAATCTAAAAATCTGTAAATGTTCATTAAAATTATTAAAATTTTAAAAAAAGATATTAAAGTGGGGCGGGGGGAAACCACAAAAGGCAACTATACACATGGACCTCTTGAAGACTACACAAGAATCAGACTGACTACATTTTTTTAAAGAATCCCTGGAGAGGCCCAAGATCAGCAGTCAAAAACTGGAAAAGTGCTGACTGTGGAACAGATCATCAATTATTCATGTGCATGTTCAAATTGGAAAAAAGTAAGACAAGCACATAAGAACCAAAATATGACCTTGAGTCTACCCCATTAGAACTTCAAAGCCATCTCAAAAACAGGTTAAAGGCACTGATCACTAATGATTAAAGATGAGCTCTAGGAAGACATCAAGAACAGTATCTAGAAGGAAAGCAAAAGGTCATTACAAATACAGGGAAGAAAGAAAAGACAAATGATATGACTCAGAAGACAACACAAGAATGTGATGTCAAAAGAAAAGTAAGAAATTAAAAAGATGAACAAAATTTTTAAAACTACTTGTGAAAATAAAGTATTATAATGAAATGTGCAAACAGCTAGAATCAGAAACTAGAAAGGAAGAACTTGCTCAGCATTTCTGATAGAAATGATAAACAAATTCAAGCCTTGAGTTACAATACTGAGGGATGCCATGGACAAAATCTTGAATGTCCAAGGAAGCATCAAAAGAAGATAGAGGGAATACACAGAGTCACTGTACCAAAAATAATTGACTGGCACAGAACCATTTGAGGAAATGGCATATGTCCAAGAATCAGTAGCAATAAAGGAAGAAGATCAAGCTAATTTAAAGAAACTGAAAAAAAATAAGACCACAAGAACTGCTGGAATATCAATGGACATGTTCCAACACAGAGATGCAGCCCTGGACATGTTAACCAAGCTGTGCCAAGAAATCTGGAAGGCAGCCTACTTAGTTAAGTGACTGGAAAAGATTCTTATTTGTTCCCCTTCCAAAAAAAGATGATCCAACAAAATGTAGAAACTACTGAACAATATCATTAAAATTACATGCAAACAAAAACAGAACAGTGCATCAATAGAGAATAGTGCATCAGTATAATATTCAGTATATTATACTGAATATAATATTCAGTATTACACTATTGAATGATAAACAGATTTCTCATCAACAGAGAAGCTGTATTTAGAAGAGGTTATGGTATCATAGATACCTGCTAAAAAAATGTGCTCATCAAGTTGTGCCAAGAAACCTGGAGGACAACCACCTGGCCAACTGACGGAAAGAGATTGATATTTGTTCCCATTCCAAAGAAAGGTGACCCAAAGAAACTGGAGAACTTATCAAACAATATTAATATCACATGCAAGCAAGATTCTGCTGAAAATTGTCAAAAAATGACTAGAATAGCATATCAACAGAGAATTTCCAGAAGTTCAGGCTAGGTATAGAAGAGGCTGTGGTACTAGAAATATTATAGTTAATGTTAGATGGATCTTGGCTGAAAGCAGAGAATAGCAGAGAAATGTCTATCTGTGTTTCATTGACCATGCAAAGACAATTGACTGTGTGGATCACAACAAACTGTGGCTAAACCTGAGAAGAATGGGAGTCCCAGAACATTTGATAGTGCTTATGTAAAACATTTACTTGCACCAGAAGGCAGTCATCAAAATAGAGCAAGGAGACACTGTATGGTTCAAAACTGGGAAGGGTGTACACGAGGGATGTGTCCTATCTCAATACCATTTCAATTTATATGCAGAACAGATTATCTGGAAGGCTGGGCTATATGAGGAGAAATGCGGCATCAGAATTGGAGGAAGACTCATCAACAATCTGTGTTACACAGATGAC